GAAACAAGTGTCAAAAAAGCATCCTAAACCCTAAACTCTAAACCCCTAAGCCCTAAGCCCTCAACTAAACCCTAAACTCTAAGCCCCTAAGCCCTAAGCCCTAAACTAAACCCTAAACTCTAAACCCCTAAGCCCTAAGCCCTCAACTAAACCCTAAACTCTAAGCCCCTAAGCCCTAAGCCCTAAACTAAACCCTAAACTCTAAACCCCTAAGCCCTAAGCCCTAAACTATGCCCCAAACTCTACTACCCTTCGTCCGCCTGCAGGCCTGGCGACCGAGGTCGACGCTGGCGTGAGCGACGAGGACGACTGGAACTCCAACGCCATGTGCCTGGCTGCTTTGGGTATTTTTGGGTTCCTCCAAAGGCTTGAGGCCTCGAGCTTCCAAGGTTCAGGGTTCTGGGTCTTCTGCTTTGGGATTTGGGGCGTAGGGTTTGGGATTCAGGATTTGGGTGAAAAACTCGAGTGTAGCTGACTTCGTAAGGTTTACGGCTTCGAGTTTAGGGCTTATGGCCTCTGGTGTTTGTCGGGTTCAGAATTCAGGGCTTAGGGTTTAGGGTTCTGACTTGATTGCTCCAGGGTCCAGGACCCAGGGACTAAGCTTACAGAGGGCTTCGATGCAGGGAGGTCTGTATGAACAATTGCCGTGCCCACACGAACGCAACAACGTGATTTGAGGTATGCATTCATAAAGAAGAAGCTGTATCAAGGAAGTATTGAGACAAGTGTGCGCAGGAATGCATCGAACACATAATCATATGCTTAAGCACAGTGACATCTCTATACACATGCCAGCATAAGCGCAACTACCTGCGCATGCACACATGCACGCATGCATACCTACACACATATGTATGTACATTATAAACCTGTGTGTATATTTGTTGTATATATATATATACATATGTATATGCACATCCATCAATCCCTCTGCCCCTCCGTCCATCCATCCATTCATCCATGCATGCACGCATGCATGAATGATCTCCATCGCTGTCAGCCCCGAACCGTATAACGAGCCGAACCCAGAGAGCCCAATACGGTTCAATTAGGGACTACGTCTTAAACTGCACTGGGATCCTCATGGCCATAAATCAGCGAGGGCCTAATATAAAGGATCCCTCTGTAGCATAAGAAGTACACCCGTAAACCCTGAACCCAAAAACCATCCTAAGCCTTAAACCCTTAACCCTAAAACCCTAAACCCTAAACCCAGAAACCATCCTAAGCCCTAAACCCTAAATCCTTAAACCCTAAATCCAAAAACCATCCTATGCCCTAAGCCCGAAACCGTCAGCTGATGGCGCTGTCGGGCCTTGTTGGTCTGAGGTGCAGCATGTTTAGCATCGGCCTAACCCTGACGGAGAGGGGCCTCTGCCAGTGGCCGGAGGTCGGGGAGTCCCTATAATACTATAACCCTTTGGGTTGAAGGGTTCAAGGGTTTGGGGGTTTAGGGGTTTAGGGGTTAGGGTTGAAACCCCCCAACCAGTATTGGTAATGAAATAGGCCTCCATAGTTTCTCAAACTAGATACTTGGTTTTTGAGTTTAGGATCGTGAATAGAAGTCCTGTAGCTTAGTCTTAGGAAAGCAAAATGCAGTAGTGGGTTACCCATAGGCTCCTTAGTAGTTCCTCTTTGGGATTGCCTTATAGGATCCTAAATACCAACCATAAAAAGGAACTACGAAGGAGCCTAGGGTTAGTGTAGTGATTATAGGGCGCAGGACAGTAAAAAGCAGCAATGCAGGCTAGGATGTGGGAGAGTAAATAGTATGTGTATATCTGTTTTCATAGATATGTATGTTTGTAAGTATGTATATGTATATGTATATATGTATACATGTATACATGTATACATGTATATATGTATATATGTATATATGTTTATATGTTTATATGTTTATATGTATATGTGTATATGCATGCGCATGCATATATATGTACATAGATATGCATACACACACATACATATGCATACACATATATGCATACGTATATAATATAGGTACTTGGACCCTTAGGGCGACGTCCCCACGCTCCACGGGCTCTCGGTTTTGTTTAGGCTTTAGACGCGCAAAGCCTGCCGCTGCACCCTGTAAACCCTACACCTTACACCCGAGCCCTCAACCCTAAGCCCTTAAGCCTAAACCCTAAATCCCTCAAGCCCCAAATCCCACATCCCTAAACCCTTAACCCGAAACTCTAAATCCCTAAATCCCAAATTCCTAAACCCGCAACCCTAACCCCTAAAGCCCTAAATCCCACATTCCTAAACCCTTACCCTAAACCTAAACCCTAAATTCCAGATTCCTAAGCCCTAAACCCTAAATCCCTAAATCCCAAATTCCTAAACCCTAAACCCTAAATCCCAACTGCCTAAACGCTAAACCCTAAACCTAAACCCTAAATCCCACATTCCTAAACCCTTGACCCTTAACCTTAAATCCCAAAATCCCAGATTCCTCAGCCCTTAACCCTAAACCCCAAATTCCTACATCCCAAATCCCTAAACCCTAAACCCCTAAACCATACACCTAAACCCTAAATCCCAAATCCTTAAACCCTAACCTTAAACCCTAAACCCTAAACCGAAACCCTAAATCCCAAATCCCTAAACTCTAAATCCTGAACCATAGACCCTGAGGCCGCAATCCTAAGCCCGACATCCCCTCAGCAGATGTTTAGTCATGCCTGTCATTGGCAATCTGACACTTTTCTCCGAGATCACCAGCTGGTTTAGGGTTTCGGGGTTTAGGGGATAGGATTTCGGGGTTGAGGGGTCAGGGATTCGGGGTTCAGGCTTTAGGGATTTTGGGCTTTAGGGTTTAGCTTGAGGTCTTGGTTTTAGGATTCAGGGTTGAACTGAAGGTCTTGGGTCCGGGGGTTGGGGCTTAAGGTCTTGGGTTTGAAAGGGTTTAGGGTTTAAGGTCTTGTGTTTGTGCTTTAGGGCCTAGGGCTTAGTGTTCAGTGATTCAAGATCTTGGGTTATAGGGATTGGGTTGTAGGGTTTCCGCAGTTTCTGACGCCCTTCTTCGCTTGCAAGGAAGTGGAGCTATGCTGCTCGGAAGTGGAAGGATTGGGCAGGGCAGCCCGGAATTTGCCGCCGCTTCGGTTGACGCCCTGCCGGAAATACAGAAGCATCTAGGCTGTGGTGGGCCAGAGCACCATGTTGCCCGGGTTCGCGGCATCTGGCTCTCCAAGCCGATGGTTGCCCAGCCAGAGCTATTTCATTCGGGATTTGGTTCTGCTTTGCCGGATGATCAAAGCGAGATGTGTGGTGGAGATTCCCTACCGACATGGGAACCTCTTCAAGAGGTGTGATGTTGCAAGTTGCTCATGTGCAATGAGCATTTTGGACATCCTGACCGGCTTTGCGGCTTGCATTTATTTTGCTCGCATCAATGCTTGATTGGTCGCGGATATCATGCCCCAAACCCTAAACTCCAAACCCCTAAACCCCTAAACCCTAAGCACTAAGCCCTGAGTGTGTGGCCCGAGGTGCCCCACAATGCTTCTGGGCAACGATATGCTGCTCTTGAAGGGCTTGAAGTACTTATCGAATAGGTTCCACCCGCTGCCTGCTAAGTTTCAACCTTGAGGCCAGGTACAAAGAGAGCCTAATATTCCTGAATCCAGGATCCCATGATTAAGTATCCCTTTCCTTAAGTTCCTAGAGGAGTGCTTAGTAACCCGAGTAGGATTTCTGTAAGGCGTTCTCCTGAACGACGGGGTGCTGGGCTCTCGGGGAATCATGTCGGGGAGGTGGTGCATGCGGTCTTCCTCTACATCTCCATGATGATCCGGGAAGGCGTCAGCGATGGCCCTTCTTCGAGGTTTAGGGCTGTAGGGCTCTAGGGCTTTAGGATTTAAGGTTCCAGCTCCGGGGCTTAGGATGCAGGGATTTCGGATGCATTTTAGTTTGGGCAACCTTTGGTATCGGGATCTGTGGTTTAAGCCTAGTTGGGAAGATTCCGGAGTGTCCCAACTATCAGCCTACCAGCCCTGGAGTCCTAACGCCCCAACCCTAAAACCCTAAATCCAGAGTCAGCCCCTTTAGGCTGCAATTGTTTAAGATGATTGAAGCCTGCTTGCATCTCTCGTTCAGGGTGTAGGGTTTGGGGTTTAGGGTTTAGGGAGAACTTCTGGTGGTCTGGGTCCCATGCACTCTGTTGTTACATCGCTGTCTGATGCGGAGTGGTTCTTCTCATCACATATACATATCGAGAATAGCAGGCGCTATGGTTTTAGGGTAGAGGCCGGGTATAGGATAGGGAACCAGACCTTCGGCACATCCTGCAGGTAAAGAACTCTCCCTTTGTTCTAGTCCGCGGAACCAGAATGCTAAACTTGCGGCGCATGTACGGTGTGCCATGTTCACTTGTGAACTTGTGGACCCTTTTCCTCTCAAGGGTGGGACTCTGCAGACGTGAGCCATGTAAAAGAGCGGTCCTGTTGCGCTTTGTTCCAGGCTCCGGCTACGGCATTAGATTTGCATTGGTAGCGACTTCTGGTGGCGTTTGGACCGCTAGGAAAAGCGAAGATGTTCTTTGATGATGACCTTTTGAGCGGCGCGCAAGCTCAAGGTGTTCATCCTGACGTCGGCGCTGGCGCACCACAGGCTGACTTTGAAGACGGCGCTGCGAATGGCAGCCCCGGCTCAGGCGCCCTTTCCTCCGTGGAGACACTCTCTGCGACTGCTTCCCGTCGGAAGCGTGGATCCAGAGGCGGCGCTGGATCCAAGACCTCTCCTGAGAAGCGGTGGCGTTCAGGAGCGGTGCCGCAACCGCCCTCCTTCGACGGCGACATCGAGGCCGACCCGTATTGCTACAGGCACTACCGACGCCGCCTCCTTCGATGGGTCGAGATTACCAAGGAATACCTTCCTGGGAACGAGCAAGCTCTTCGCGCCCTTGAAAACCTCAAGGGCGAGGCCGAGGTCGAGATGGAGGAGGTGGAGGACAGCCGGTACAATGTGCCGAACGGCATCCAGGTGCTCCTCCAAGACCTCGAAAGGAGCTTCGGGGCCAAGGAGATGTTCCGCCAAGGGGGCACGATTCGGGAGTTCGAGAACGTGGGTCGTCTTCAGGGTGAAAGCGTTCATGCATTCGCGAGAAGGTTTCGATTACTAGAACGCAAGCTGAAGGACAACCAGGTCCCTGAGTATCCCGAGGTCGCCCGTGTGATAAAGCTCTTGGACGGCTTGAGGCTGGATGAGAAGAGCGTTTCGGCTCTTTTGTTGGCTGCCGGAAACAAGTATGACATGCGGGCCATACTTAATGCCGTAAGCATACAGTACCCGGCGGGCATGACAATTACAGGCCTTCCTCGTCTTCGAGCCGACCGACGCGGTCGAGGTCGTGGTACTTCCTCCTCTTCTGCAGCCTCCACGACAGCGTCATCGGCTCGTTCAGGTCCCTCCGGCAAGAGATGGAGACACTGGAATACCACTTGGGAGGAAGTTGATGACCCCTCCTTTGAAGCAGAAGATGGAGACCAGCCACCGGAGGACGCTCCTCTGTATCAGGATGAAGGCGCTCCCCCGGATGAGGAGGCAGAGGACGTCATCTATGAGGAGAACGAGCAGGCGGACGAGGAGGACGACGGTGCCGCCTGGGGTGACTACGATGCTGGCGATGGTGGCCACTACGACGAAAATGAGGACCTGCATGAGCTTATGCAGGCCCTGACGGTCACCAGTAAGCGTCTTGCAGGTCTGGTCCAGGCCCGTGGCTTCTACCAGACCGATGGAAAAGGCAAGAGCAAGGGCAAAGGCAAAGGCAAAAGCAAGGGCAAAGGACGTGGCGGCAAATCCGCCGTTGGGAGCAAGCCCTTTGGCAAGTCCTCTGGCAAGAAGGGTCAGCCTTCGAAGAGCAAAGGCAAGGGCAAGACGGACAACGCGCTGCATCAGCAACGTCTTCAAGGAAGCCTTTGCCTTGGATGCGGCGCTTCGGATCACTGGTTGAAGGACTGTCCGTCGTATACTGTGCAGAATGCCCAGCTGACCAGTGCCGCAATTGATGGCTTGGTGCTGGATGCAGAGGGCACGGCTTCTATTTGGGCCGTGACCGTGAGCGCCAACGAGCCTCAGACCGACATTGCTGCGACGGACAATGGAAAACAGCACGAGCTCTACCAGGCACCCTCCTTGTCCGAGTTCGAACCCTTCACCTCCGTGCCCAAGAACCCCAGCATCCTCTTGCAGTACTATCAGGGAGACAGTTCAGCCTATATCATTGCTGACACAGGATGCCAGAGGCAGGTAGCAGGTGAAGGTTGGCATGTTCGAAAACGTTCTGAAATTGAACCTCTATGCCGCCTTGAGTACCCCGACGTGTGCAAGTTCAGCTTTGGACCTAGCGATGCCTTGACGAGTCAGGGAAGATACGTATACCCGGCCGCGATCGCAGGCAAACCTCTGGCTATGTGTGTGAGCTCTGTGAATGCCAAAGCAGGGATCCGAGTTCGCATTTGCGACCTTTGTGGAACAAGGTACGTGCTGCTACCCTCGGGAACGTCGGTGTTGGCCACTCCAAAAGCTTCACCGTCGGCCAAGACACCACTCAACCTGCCCGAGCACGTCATGGAAGCCATACGCGGCAAAAGGCCCGCGGCCGGCAAGCCTCAGGTGGCAAGGTCCCAAGGCTCCTCTCGGCCCTCCTCAATATCCTCGCCTGCATATGCGCCTCCACCTCCACCACGACTTCGCCCGAGATCCACAACTACGGCTCCGAAAGCAGCTCCGAAGATGGTTCCCCGAGCCAAAAGTATGATGCAGGCAGCCTCCGCAAGTTCGAGCCTTCCCATTCCGCGACGGAGGCAATGGCATGGCTCGGAGAGCGACCGCATGAGCACCGGGACCGGCGTGTACCACGAGGACATGGACTGGTCGGAGGCCGCAGCTCCAGCCGAGACGACGGAGTGGGTGGAGCCGAATTGGGCGATGCCGGACGACTACGACCATTACGAGGGCTCGGAGAACTCCCAGTTCGACCCGAACGACCTCATCCCCCACGACTTCGAGGAGGAGGAGGCGGACGAGGAGCACGGCAAGGAGTTCTAGCCCAACTTCGCGATCCTGCCCGGCGACGAGGAGATCATGACCTCTTACGTGGTTCGGCAGATGAGCCGTTGATGCCGGAAGACGCTGGCGCCTTCAAGGCCAAGGCCGGCACTTTGAAGCGCGTGCTTGGCAACGAGAAATCCATGTTGGATGCATGGCAACTGGAGCAGCGTGCCTATGCTGTGCGAGCTCAAAGGGCACGATCTACCCGCGTGTTCGGTTCGGACCTGATCGAGGTGTACGGCGGCAATGCCGAGATTACTCGTGTGGGGCTACTTCACGCACTACGAGTTCTTCAGCCCGTCGACAAAATCTACGGCCATGACTTGTCTACCGGGAACGATTTCGAGACCCTCCGGAACTTGCTTTTGAAGCACAGACCGTTCCTGGTGATATTCGAGTTTCCTTGCACTCTGTGGTCCAACATCCAGCACTTGAACTACGACAAGCTCACTCTGGATGAGCTGCGGGCAAAGCAGTTGTGCAGCATCCGTGAAATGTGCAAAACCATTCGTGCCATCCACGAAGCCTATGGCGGGCACTTCCTTTTGGAGAACCCCGCATACACTCCGTTTTGGCAGCACCCTGAGATTATGCAGCGCTATGACATTCCCAATGTGGAGTTGCAAGTTGGACATATGTGCTGCTACGACCTCCGCGGCAAGGACGACAAGCTCTTGAAAAAGCCCACAGCGTGGATGTCCGATCTTTCACTCCTTTTGAAAGAACTGGGCCATCAATGCCCCGGTCCAGAGTTACATGATCACGGCCAGGTCCTGGGCGGCAACTCCTCGCGATCCCAGGTCTACACGACGACCCTCGCCCAGGCCGTGATTCGTGGTTTGCATGCCTCCCTCAAGGAAGCCGGAGATGAGCGATACAATCGCGCCCATGAAAGTGACTCTCAGGCCTGGCAAGCTGATGTTGAATCAGACGAACTTGTTCTGCCTGACTGGCAGCCCCCTGGTGAGACTTCAGTTGTGACGGTGTTCTTCCTGGATGTGAATCGTCACGAGGACTCCTGGCTTCCCTTGTTGAAGGAGGCAGAAGCTCAGCTGAAGGATAAGGTGAGGCCGGACCGCGTGATACCCACGAACACCCCGTTCGGCGAGCAGCTGAAGACTTTGGTGCCCTGGAAGATCATCCGCATACAAATCTGCCGGACGCCCATGCAGCGTCGACTACCTCTGGAAGTTCTCCAAGCTGGTGCTCAACATCGGGGTGCTGCCCTGTGGCTGAGTGATGGATCGGTCTCCATCGAAGCCGAGGCAGTGAGCCGCATACTGGCTCAGTCTGCGGGTCGTTTTTCGACTCCTGTTCGTGTGGCAGTGTTCTTCTTCGGTACGGCCCCAGCTACAAGCCTGAATGAGACTGCCAACGAGCTTCCGGAGACCGATGTCAAGGTGGATGTGACCGGCGACAAGGTCGATGAAGTGGAGACCATGAGACCGCACCAGCCGGGTTTCCGGGACATTTCTTTTCCTGGACTGAAGGGTGCTCCGAAGTGGCTGTTGCAGGTGATGCGTCGACTTCACACAAACTTGGGTCACCCGTCGACGGCTACTATGGTGAGGCACCTAACAGCCTCTGGAGCCTCCGAAACCGCCATTCAGGCAGCCCGCCATCTTCGATGTGAAGTGTGCTTACGTGTTCAACCTCCTCGAGAACCTCGCCCTGCCAAGCCGTTTACCGCCAGGCGTTTCAATGACCGTCTGAACATGGATGTGCTGTGGCTCAAGGACATCTCTGGTCGAGCACACGGTTACTTGTCTCAAGTGGATGAGGCAACGAGTTACCACGTGCTGAGCTACATGCGGGATCGAACGGAGGAAGAGACGATACGTCTCTTGATCAATGGATGGTTTTCGTTCTTTGGTCCTCCAGATGAACTGGTGCTGGACTCGGATGGAAGTTTCAGGGGCTTCCGATTCGAGACTCTTCAAGCCCAATGCGCTGTCAAGGTCCGTTACGCTCCTGCAGATGCTCATTATCAGATGGGTAAGGTGGAACGGCATGGCCAAGCAATTCGCTACATTGTTCAGCGGCTGGTCTCTCAGTTCGCACCCCTGGGCGCCGATGAGCTCAACGTCGTTGCGGTGATGTCGGCGGCGGCCAAGAACAACTTGATGCGTCGAGCTGGCTCCTCACCAGCTCAGTGGGTTTACGGCCGTGCGCACAAGATTCCAGGTGCTTTGTTGAGTTCCGGCGGCTCCATTGAAAGCTGCTCCCTTCATGACGACAGCAGCCGCCTGCGTTTGGTCGAACAAATTCGAGCCAAGGCCATGATGCTTTTTCATCAGTTCGAGTCTGATGCCGCTCTTCGGGCCGCTCTTCTTCGTAAACCTCGCCCCGCTCGTGGTCCGTTCGCTGAGGGCCAGCGCATCGCCTACTATCGGGCCAAAAATTCTGCTGATGGCGAGGGTACCCTGGAAGGATATCGCCAGGGCGTGATTGTTGCGGTCGATGGCTCGACTCTTTGGATCCGCAACACGCGTGGTCGTCTGGTGTCCGCCTCCAAGGAGCAGGTTCGTTCCATCGGTGGCGAGGAGGAGTGGTGGGCACCAAGTCAAGCTGACTTGGACCTCCTTAAAAAGTCTGACCAGGACTTGGATGCGAAGCACTCCCCCCTCGCCTTTCGCCTTCCTGACGGTTCGGTTCCTCGTGCAGGTGATGATCAGGCCGTGGCAGCTGAGCTGGATTTTCAGCTTCGAGCCGCGTCCCCCGCACCAAGACCTGTTCTCGATGCAGATGGTCGTCCTGTCTTGGATCCGTCAGGGCAACCAGTTCCTGCCTTGCCGGCCCCTACGATGCTACCGCCGATGATGCTTGTGCCACCGACTCTGACCTCAAGAGTTCCGGGCACTCCTCGAGGACGCGGTCGCAGTCGAAGCAAGACTCCGGCCAGACGTGCTCTACCACCAGTGCCAGAACAACAGGCATTACCATCAGAACAGCCGGCATTACCTTCAGAACAGCAGGCATTACCCTCAGAACAGCCGGCATTACCGTCAGAACAGCAGGCATTACCGTCAGAACAGCCGGCATTACCGTCAGAACAGCAGGCATTATCTGGTCATGGTCATTCGAGACCGCCATCTAGCTCTCAGGTCACCGGTGGTCATGGTTCGAGACCGCCATCTAGCTCTCAGGTCACTGGTGGTCAAGGTCAGTCGTCACGACAGGTGTCATCTGATGCAGCTGGTCCCAGGCGGTCGTCGTATGGTACTTCAGACATGCAGCGCGATCTGGAGTCCCTCATGAATCAGATGCCCTCTGACGCCACTTCCCGAGGTACAAAGCGACCGGCTGATGCGACCTTGGAGGCACCATCGCAGTCCTCACTGCGTCGAGAACCCAACACGGAGGAGGAGCATGCAGAGAACCTACTTCTTTTCTGTCGTGACTGCGGTGAACAGCATCGAGTCTCAGTGCAGGGCGTCGACTCCTGTTCAAGATGTCTTAGTACTCGGACGGTGAGTTCGCCTATGCATGTTGTTTCTTGGTTTGATGAGGTGAAGGAGCGAGAAGCTTTGGAGCAGTGTTTCGAGAATCGAACAAGCAGCTCCTACTCTGCCTCGTCAGCTATGCAAGCCGTTTCCTTTGAGAACGAATTCGATCCGGCTCAGGACAAAAACAATTCGTGTCCCTCTCACGAGTTCACGGGACGATTGGACGTACTACATCGACATGGACGAGATGATGCTTCACGTGTTGGCTGGGATGGATCTCCCTGCGAACTTCAGCCCCTCTTTCAGTCCGACAACTACCTGACGGCAGCGCACCACCTCGGCTGCCACGAGGAAGATGTCAACGCGTGGACCACATCTACTACAAGAGCAACCTCAGCTACTACCTCTCGCACCTCTGCGCGAAGGCCAACTCTGGCATCCGAGCACGTTGCAAAGCAGCTCTTGCGGGCTCAAGATTTTCGAGCGAGCACTCTACATCAACTGCTCGAGGCAGTGGAGTTTCCCTCCAACAAGAGGAACTGTCTGGATGACTCCAGTGGTGGTTTCCTCTTGGGTCTGTACTCGCACGGCAACTTCACGGGCATCACGAAGGCTACCGGTGCCCATCGGCAACTTGCGAAGTACGTGATGTCGTACATGAGACATCATGGGCTGAAAGGCCAGACCTCGTCTATCTACATTTCCCGCAACGCCACTGCGAAGTGCCACAAGGACTCTCATAATCTCGCTGGGTCCTTGAACTGGGTTACATCTGTTGGCTCGTACACTGGCGGTGAACTGTGGGTGGAATGTTCTTCTGACTGCCCTCCTGCAGATGCTGTGTACAGGATGGTCAATGGCAAGAACACCCCGGGATTCTTGGTTAACACCAGGAATCAGGTGTTGTCTTTTCGGCCCGACTGCTTCCACGAGACGATGCCATTCAAGGGCACCCGCTACAGCATCGTGGCGTATACCACACGCTCCCTTCCGAATGCCCCGAGCTCGGCTAGAAGAAGGCTTCAGAGGCTGGGATTCAACTCTGGTTTTGCCAATTGGGACGTTTGGCAAGCCTATGTGGATGAGTCTTCAGGAGCCCGGCCTTGGTGGCTGGATGAGACTGTGGCCGAGGCCTACCCAGCTAGGTCGTGGCGACCTCCGGAGGAAGGCGAGGTCATGGCCATGGACACCTCGGGCGATGACGCTCACGATGGAGCTCAAGAGCCACCTTCCAGGGCTCAGCGCCAAGCACTGAAGAAGGAGCTTCCGTGGCAAGCTATGAGTGAAGCAGAAGTCCCTCAGTTCATCCAAGCTGTCCTGGACGAATGGGCCGAATGGCGCAAATGGTCATCGTGCAGGCCGATTCATGTTGATCTCAGCCGCATCGATCCAACTTTGATTCTGCCTTCCAGAATATGCTACAGATGGAAGGTGAAAGGGGACGGATCGATGAAACCTAAAGCACGTATAGTCATCTCTGGATTTAAGGATCCACACTTACCGCTCCTTTCCAGAGATTCGCCAGTCTTGTCGAGAATTGGACTGCATTGTATATTACAATGGTCGTCGTCGCAGAAAGTCCCCCTGCACACCGGGGATTGCAAATCGGCGTTTTTGCAAGGTGCTCCAGATGATGAACGTCCCCAAGCTATATATATATGAGAGCACCTTCCGACCCGGTTTCTCGGCAGGCGGTGGAGGAATGGAATGACTCTAGCTTGCTTTATAAACTTTCAGCCCCGGTCTACGGACAAGCCAACGCCCCAAGACGATGGTATGTGCACGTCGCCAACACTCTTGGAGGCCTGGGATGGACGGCTCATACTCTGGACCCATGCCTATGGCTGTACCGCGAGGAAATCGACGGCGTCCTCAAGGTCACGGCGGTCCTGGGAGTCCACGTGGACGACATGATCATGGCGGCGCTCCACGGTAAGGAGAAAGTCCTCGAGGCCATCCACGGCTCCTTCACATGGGGAAGCGAATGGGAGTCCAAGGACTTCACCTTCGTTGGCCGTCACATAAGGCAACACGAAGACTGGACCCTGACGGTGGACCAGGCCAGCTACATCGCTGAAGTCCCCATCACGAAGATCAGCCTGGCCATGGAGGAGAAACTGAGCGACCATCCCGAGATGATCACCGAGTTCCGTTCCGGCATTGGCAGTCTTCAGTGGATGGCGGGAACAACCAGAGGCGATATTGCAGCAGACACCTCGCTGTTGCAGAAACCCCCGTCGCAGCTGACCATGGCGGACCTGGCTGAGGTCAACGGCGTGCTGCGTTACGTGAGGGCAACGCGCGATGCATATTACAAGGTGATCCCGATTGATTTCGAGGAGATGCTGCTGATCGCCTACGGTGATTCTGCTTGGGCGAATGCCCCGGGCGGCAAGTCGCAGGGCGGCCTCCTTGTGGCAGCTACTAGTAAGAAGGTGCTGCAAACTCCTCAACCTGCCTCGCTGCTGGAGTGGAAGTCATATCGACATCAACGTGTGCTGAGGTCAACTCTAGCAGCAGAAGCCGCTTCTTTGGATAAGGCTGAGGACTACGGTAACTTCATCGCCACCATGCTGTCCGAAATGATTGACGGCCGCTACACCGCGACCCTTCGCGAGGTCCCGATCATCGAGGTGCTGCCGGTGACGGATGCGAGAAGCTTGTGGGATGCCATCCACAGGCTTAGCACTACCTTTGCTGAGAAGCGCGTGGAGATCAGCATTGCAACATTGCGGCAACAGTGTCGTGCTCTTCGCTGGCCGACGGCTTGACAAAACGCTCCAGGGCTCTGAGAGACACCTTCCGGAAATGGATGTGTGATCCGTGGATTACTCTTGTGGAGAGCAAAGCACCACAAGATGTTGGGCCCCAGAGCTCAAACTCGGCCTGGCGGTGAACAGGCACTGTAAATATAGAGGAGTGCTAAACTTGCGGCGCATGTACGGTGTGCCATGTTCACTTGTGAACTTGTGGACCCTTTTCCTCTCAAGGGTGGGACTCTGCAGACGTGAGCCATGTAAAAGAGCGGTCCTGTTGCGCTTTGTTCCAGGCTCCGGCTACGGCATTAGATTTGCACAGAAAACTGACAGCATAGTACCTTTGCACCTCTAGTCACTCGTCATATTCTGTCGTTTGAGGGGTGCTGAGTGCTGAACTCCGCGCAGATTACAGCATCTTGTAATTGTCAGCTCCCTTTCGCTTCCGTGGGACACGTGCCATGTGAATTACTGGGGGATGTTCTTTCTGGGCATCAGCGACAGGAATGGCCACCTCTGCCCCCTCCCAACGAACCGTGCTACTTTTCCGAAAGGCCCGCAGAAGTGGATTCACGACGAATTGGTGCAGGCGCAGGAGCTGCCTGTTCTTCCAAGCAGTCTCGAAACTTTGAAGTTGAGCTCTATAAGGGGGTTTCCGAAAATAGGAAACCCTAATATAGTACCCTGAATAGTAGGGTCCTAATTATATAAGGACCCCAAAAGAAGGTACCCCTAATTTTCGGAAAGTCCCATAAGGACAGCGTCCTTTTACTTCCCAAATGTCTTGCAGTGGAGGTGCTCAGCCTGCAAACGTCAACATGAGGGGGTTTAGCTCTTGGGTTTGGGGTGCAGGGAGTCTCTGAGATCTCCGGAGATACGCCTGCCCAAAGCCTACAGCCCGAAGACTTCCACATTAAGCCCTCATAGCCGAGTCCTGAAACCTTATAGGGGTTGTGGTTTAGGGTTTAGGGTTTAGGGGTTCAGGGTTTAGGACTTAAATCCCAACCTAAACCACAAGACACGACGAGTTGCGGAGGATGTGGGCTGGCGGTTTCTCGATGGGGCCTCAGCTTTCTAACGAGGAGTCGGCTGGTTCTAAAGCTCTAGTGCTGCAAGTTTTGGGTTCCACGGATTCTACGGCTTCTAGATTTTTTGGGTTTAGGGCTTTATGTTTCAGGGTTTCGGGTGTGGAACTTTGCTGGTATTTTGGGTTCTGAGGCTTCCGGCTTCCGGCGTTTCGATGCTAAACAGGCTGGATTTTTGTTGGCGTTCGTTAAGGCTTTAGGCTTGTGTCGTCCGGCTTCAATGCTCAGGGCCTCATCGTGAGACAGGGCACGTGACAACGACAGCTGTGGGACTTCTTGTTTTTATGAAAGCCTCAAGCCCATACCAAAGGTTTAAAGCCACCCAAAGCCGAAATTGCTAAATGTTAAACGATTGTCAACAGGTTTTCTCCCACAATGCTGTCTTTTTGGCTCTTCGCATCCGGATCTGTTTCGATTCAGGTTTTTCAGGATGCGACACCTTCGAACGCAATTTGGGACTTCTCTTCAGCACGGTTTAGGGTTTTAGGGTTTAGGGTTTAGGGGTTCAGGGAGTGTTCCTGCACACGGCCCGACAGGCTGAATTCGGGGAGACAGCGGGTTGCAGGGTTTTGGAGGGTCCGGGGATCCACCAGGGGGTTTTAAGCCCTTTCACTCCGAAAGTGGGGGGGTTCCAGCATCTCATCTCCTTTTTTGGGGGGATACCTTTTCGTTGAGGATCTTGATATTAAGAAGGATGTTATAGGCTTCGGGGTTGAGCCCGAAACCCAAGACCCTAAACCCCAAACCCTAGACCCCAAACTCTAAACCCTCAAGCGTTTCCGCTGAGGAAGAGACAGATCCGATGGAGTACGTGCAGAAGCTTGCGTGCCCCGGCTTGGAGTGTGCGTAGAGTTCTGCTTCGAGTTTCCCGATCTTGTCTCTGGACGGTATCGGGGTTGAGGGCTTGAGGTTTCTATCCCTTGAGACAAAACCTAAACCCCAAAGCCTAAGCATCCTGCATTTGTCTCGCTACAATATATGTGCAATCCAAGAGGCTTATTGTCAACCTTCTTGTCTTGTTCTGACCGGGATGCCTTAGGTGTCAGATGCTGCCTGACCTGCAAAGACAGCGGGAGCATCTTCTGCCGCCTGGCCCGGGGGAAGGGGATCATCTTTGGGTTGGTTCAAGGCTTTTTATTTTGTATGTATGCTACTGTTAGAAATGCTTAACTATTTAAGATTTTGTTGTCATTGTCAGTAGTACTAACCCAGTTCTGAGCTCGAGAAAGAAACAGCCGCCATTGAGGGTACGGCCTAGGGCCAGTCTAGAGTCTGGGGTGGCTTTGGGGGTTGCTATCGGGGGTTGTTCCCTTTTCGTGATTTCAAGGGTTACTACAAGGGCCACGATAGGCCTTACTATCGGGGCTACCATACTAGAGCTTGCAAGAAGACTGTTGGTTTATAAGGGTTATTAGAAGGCTTACGGTTGCTTTAAACCCTTAACCCTGGACTCTGAACCCTAATACCCTAAACCCTAAACCGCGGATCACTGTGGAAAAAGGCCCTCAAAAAACAAAAACTAAGCCCTAAACGAGAGCGTTGTTTGAACCGTTAGCGTTTTCGAGTGTGGGGGGCCTAAAGGCCAGTGCATGGGAGTTGGAGGAAAGCACAGGTCCACCTTAAAAAGAACCCTAAACCCTATAAACCCTATAACCCTAAACCCTAAACATCCCTAAAAGCCCCAATGCCAATAACCCTAAACCCGAAACCGTAAAGGGTTGCTACATCGGTGCTTCAGGGGGGCCCCTCTGGATGTAGCTGCGTGTCTGGGGCCCCGAAGGCTGCTCACTTGCTAGCTCTCAGCCTAGAGGAGGTGTTTTTGGGCTTTACGGGTTTAGGGCTTAGAGGGTTTTGTGGTTTAGGGGTTTAGGTTCAGGGTTCAGGGGTTGAGGGTGTAGGGCACTACTTCTTGCTCGCTGAGTCCCTTCCTGTATGAACTGCGCTGGAATCGTACGGGAGTACGGGAGTCCTGTCGAAGGTTTTACACAATTCCAGCTAGACCGCAGAATTTGTATTCGGAGATCCCGACAGTTGCTCATCGGGGCATCATGCAGCTACACTGCTCTTTTTAAATCGGGGGGGGTTCATGCATGAAGGATCCCCACTATTCAGTGCTTCAGCTTGGGGACTTCTCTTCTGAATGCCGAGACCCCAAATCAAAGATCGCTTTGAAAGAAGGGGCCCCAAGAGAGACCGACGCACCTGGAGCCTTCAATGCAAGAGCAGTTGAAGCAACTGAAACCCTTTCTAAAGCCGAAACCTAGGCAGCCCAAATCTCAAAACCTCTCAGGAAGTCGGAATGGATGCTTTCTCAGTGGGATCCCGATGGCATCTCTGCGCCCCTTGGAGGAATCCCACTAAATGCTTCGAAGTTCCACGTAAGCTAAAGACCCCAGAGGCCCCAAACTCAAACCCCGGAAGCCCTAAACCCTAAACCCAAAGCCTGAAGCCATGCAGGCCATGCAGCTTGATCAGTCCTCGAACCTTAAACCCCTAAACCCCTAAACCCCTAAACCCTAAACCCCTTAAACCCTGAGCCCTACAACGTAAGACCCCTTTCATCCGTAGCAGCCCAAGGTTCCTTCGCTTGATGGTTCCTCGCAGCGCCTTTGTCGTGTTGCTCTCCAGTGCCTATGGCCGAGCAAGGGGTGCCCAGCAAGAGCCTGGGAAGGCCCATGTACGATATCATATACGTATAGATATTGTTTGCATGCACGAGGTGTCTCTGTGTGTGTGTGTGTGTGTGTATGTATATATATATATACACGTACGTACGTAGGTAGGTTATATAGGTAGGTAGGTAGGTAGGTAGGTAGGTAGGTAGGTAGGTAGGTAGGTAGGTAGGTAGCTAGCCAGCTAGCTAGCCAGCTAGCTAGGTAGGTAGGTAGGTAGGTCGGTCTGTATGTGTGTATGTATGTGTATATGTGTATGCATGCATGTATGTATGTATGTACATGTGTCTGTTGTAAGGCTACTTTCTGTTATGGTATGTTCTGTGCTATTCTAGTCTGTGCTCTTACATCAGGTCATAGTCGGTTGTAGTGCGCCAGATACTGTATTATGTTATTCTGCTATGTGGTATGGTATCATACGAAGCTGCATGTAAGGGTGATTCATGCATCATCTCACATCACATCGTATCTTACTACGACGTATCGAATCAGGTATATGATATGGCACGCTATGTTATGACATTTTAACAGTGTTATGTTTTTTGTGTCATGTTATGCTCGCCCAGTGAGAACTGCAGATGAATAGACAGATCGGTAGGCAGGTAAATGGGTAGAAGGGTAGGTAGAGACAGACAGACAGACAGACAGACAGACAGACAGACAGACAGACAGACAGACAGATAGATAGATAAATAATACATGGAAAGATACACAGCTAGAAGATAGACAGATAGACTCAGATAAACATACAGACAGGTGGACGGGTAGTAAGGCAGACGGATAGGTACATAGATACATAGATGGGCATTATGTACCTTACCTTATTTGGCCGTTGCTGCATTTCGTGTACGAATCCATGACTGCATGTAGGGCTTGTCCATGTATCGTTCAGAGTAGGTGGAACTCAAGATGTTAATCCCTAAACCCTGAATCAAAAACTCCGGTGTACAAGGGCAGCTTGGAGATCTTTCGATGATGGACTTTTGAAGCAACGGGGCTTTCGCACTGCTGCTATATTTGCTTCTCGGGGCGAAGATAATTCATAATTAGAGCACTGCGTCGGTGCATGTGTATGTATGTGTGTGTGTGAGTATATATATATATATATTGTACGACATTATAGTAAGAGCGAAGGACCTCAGGCTAGTCGCACTCGGTTATCACATGGTCCTCATGGCACGAACTCTAGACTGCATTCGCCTGTTCATGTGTTTCGCGAGTTGTTGTCCGTGGCTGCATTTTTCGGTTGCTTGGTCGC